ACCTTGATAATGGAACCATTATGGAAATTAGTATGGGGAGTCCCCCAATTTCCAAAATTAGAAATTCCATTTTGCTCAGCTATTTCCTCTTCTAGGTGTTTTTCCAAAAGAGTTAAAGACATTATACAACACAGATACATGTGTACCCACTGGTTATTGCAGCCAACTCATAATAGCTAAATCTTAGAAGTGGCCTATATGCCCATCAGCAGATGAGTGGATAAGGAAAATATGGTATTTATACACAGTCGAGTCCTACACTGCCAGAAAGGGTACATTTGAGTCATTTGTAGAAAAAATGGAGGCACCTCGAGATCAAAACATTAAGTGAAAGAAATCAGAGACACAAGCTTGAATATCATATGGCTTCTCTTATATGAGAAACTCACAGTATAAGTAAATAGCAAAATAAAAGATGAATCATAGGAAGTAGGGAGATAGATTTTTTTAAAAATGGGAAGGGGAGCCAGGAGTAGTGGCGCGCACCTGTAATCCCACACTTGGGGGGCTGAGGCAGGAGGATCTCTGTGAGTTCGAGGCCAGCCTGGGGCTACAAAGTGAGCTCAAGACTTGCCTGCACTGCATAGCAAGACCTTGTCTAAAAAAGACCAAAAAAAAAAAAAGGGAAGGCAACCAAGAGATGGATTGGTGAGGGAGAGCAGAGGAAACGATCGTAAAAAGAATGAAGATGCGTTTTGCGCATGAACTCAGCCCCTATGAGGAATGGAATCATTTTGTTCTGCAAACAGGGACTAATACAAATGGGAAAAAAAAGAGAAATCCTGGCTGAGGCCCCTCTCCCGGGGGTTTGGTTCTGTCACTTTGGTGCGTATGCAGAAGGAACACAGACCATCAGTCACCCTGGTGTGTGCGCTGCCCCGTGAAATGCCCCATTTCCTTTGGTCCTCCGGCTTTCCTCTTAAAGGGAGGAAATTCCGTAATGCTGTTCATCAGAGCAGCAGCGAGACACAAGTGCTGGACCACCAAGCACGGCTCTCTGCAGCTTCCTTTTGTTCTTGCACTGTGGGGCCTCCAGGCTCTTCCTCATGGACAGACACTATATGCGCCATCTACAGTGTGTATGATGTGGCCTGGGCTTGCTTCCAGGAAGCCCCCCCAGCAACAGAGACAGTGTAAAAGATAGCCATGTCCTCTTGCAAGTCTCCAAGGGTGGACACGCTTGGCCGGTTTACCATTCTGATTTATGGTGTCTAAGAGCAGCACTTTTCCAGTTCAGCCTCATTTTTTCTCCAAAGCAACTTGACACATTGGAGCTATTGCATCATTTGGCTCACACACACATAAAAGTGCTTCTATTACTTGTTCTTTGTTTGAAACCAGACTCAAAGGCCACCTAGTTTTCTGGCTGCTGAAGCGATGGAAAGTGTCAACTCTTTCGTCATGACAGGAGTGAATCAACTAGGCTGGTGCACTGCCTGGGGTAATTGCATGCATTCAGTCCCAGCTTTTGCATGATGGCATCCACGTGGTGGACTTTGATATGTTTGGACCACCCAGCTTTGAGCTCACCTTTTGAACAGCCAGTCAGGTACCTTGTCTGCCCTAGACAGAGGACAGCTGCATGACCTACACTATACTGACTGAAACCCTTGCCTGGCATGTGAATTGCGAGAAGAGTACTGGGGACACTAACACGGTGAGAGATCATCCAGGCAGAGGGACACCCCTCCTAAGCCATGGCCGCAGTGGCTCCTTGCCCACACTTCTGCTTCTATCCCTGAGGCCTACTTCCAGGGCTGGCTCTTTGGTCTTTTTTTCTATCCACCTGCACATTCCTACTCTCCTTATTGTCACTCCCCTTTGCTGTAAGTTAACCAGGGCCTCTTTCTGCTGCTTGTTACCGGCGAACACTGACACAGCCATTTTAACGTGCCTCTGGGATTTGGGTGAAGTCAGAAGAGAGTCTCTACGTTACCATGGTGCTGACATTCCCTTCTTAGTCGTTGTTTTCAATCGAGGCATTGGAAGCTATTATAAAATATTATTTAGGAAAGTTTACACTTGTCACTTTTATTCCCAAATGCCCGAGTCATTAGAGAAGAAGAATTTCCCTTTGCTTGCCACACACCAGCCAAGTGAGACCAAGAACATGTCAGTGTTGACAAGGGTGAATTGGGAGGGAAGGAAATGTCTGCAAGACTGGGTTCTTCAACGTCTCAGAGTGCCGGAACCGGAGGTTGGGGTACCCAAAGAGAAGCATGCCTTCACAAGACACAGAGAGGGACCAGAGAGGCCGAATTTGCTGTTTGGCACCAGCCACGCAATGCATATAGGATGCCACAAGAAGGCGCTGCTGGAACTCAGGATTAAAATAATGCACAAGGCAAGTGGCAAACAACTCCTGCTTGCTGGATAAGTGTAGCTTGGATTCATCAAGACAGAAAAAGGGGGGCTCTTTTTTAGATGCTGACCAGTCCAAACCTTGGAGGTCCTCAGAATTGTCAAAATCACTTAAAACCAGTGTACTGAGATCAATTCACCAACATTTTTAGAAAAGAGACATGTGCCTAGCCACTATCCTTGTCCTCTTTTATTTCTTGGGGAGAAACGATCAGTGCTTGGATTGCTGATTGATAGCACTCTACCTTCCATAAGAATTGCATTTATCAAAATTACACTAAATAGGCATTATCCAATTCACCCTGACAAGTTTCCAAAGCATTTAAATGTTCTAATAGTCAAGGCCATTTGACTAAAAAACAAGTAACCATTTTGGAGCAGAGTATCAGATCAAAACATGCTCCAAAACTTGACAGTTCTCCCTCAAAGTGGAGAATGGTTTTACTTGAGGTTATCACCTAACTGCTATAGTTGGTCCGATTAGAGCAGGAGTTAAACAGCTGACCCAGTCCCTCTCACCCAGACAATATCAAGGGTGGGAATGCTATTTGCACTGTCATGGCCTGGTAAGGAACCAACATTTCAATCCCTTCTGCCATCTGCAAGCTAAGAGTCTGCTGTTGGTCAGTGACTCTGAGCACCTTGGGTTTTGCCCAAATTTTGCACAATGGCAGTGACGGTTTCTGTTGTCTACTATCTTTTCAAGGACATGTATATAGTGAACAGCATGGGAGAATAGAGATAGCGTTTTCCACAGTGCAGACTACATTCTTGACCAAGTATTTTCTACTGCCAGTGCAAAGTCGGAGCAGGTTTTCTATCAGCACTTTTATAACATTGGGGGCTTCCAAAACTCAGGGTTCTCAGCTATGGCACAAGCCCAGTGGGTACCCAGTATCTGCAGTGGCCATCCCTGTGGGGCTTGGCTCCATGTCTTAATTGTTTTAGAGGACAGCAGGCAAATCTGGAGAATCTTCTCTTGGGGAACTATCTTGGACATGTTTCCTTGTTTGTCTTATTTTATTTTTAAATTTTTATTAATACATGTTTGCCATACAGTCCTGTGGGGAGTACTGCATTCCTCGTGGGGAGTTGCACATGTACATAATATACCTTCATTCTTTTTTTTTTACCCCCTTCCTCTCCCCTCCATCCATTTCTTGGTCCCCTTCTCTTTTGCGAAAGATTTACGTCTCTGTTTCCTGTTGTCTATATTTTATTGTGCTCTTTGATTTATTTATATGTTAGGTTTCTCCTACAAGAGAAACCATGTGATATTTAAGCTTGTGTGTCTGATTTATTTCACTTAAAATTATGACTGGACCTGTTTCTGAGGCAGAATCTTAAATAGTATAAGATGCTTCTCCACGTACTGTGAGATTATGTTCCAATAAACACATCATATGCAAAAAAGTCATAAGTCAAAAATCTGTTTCATCCATTTCACCTATTGAACAGCATAAGTTGCCCTTTACCTACACAAAATGTGCTGAGAGCACTGACATTAGCCAACAGTTGGGGAAAATCACCTCGTACAAATTCCATTGTATAATAAAGTGTTGAATATCTCATGTAGAGACACAGACAGGAGTTTTGTGCACGTGATAGGATGCGAAAACACAACATCTAAAACTGCCAGCAACACAGTGCATTGTAGAGTATGGGCTGTTTCTTCTCATGATCCTATGCCTGACTGCAAGCTGTGACTCACTGTAGCTGCCCAGCCTCATGAGAGAGGGTCGTGCTACACAGTGATAGCTTGAGAAAAATCCAATTTCAAAATTTGAAATACAGTTTCTGTGCAGTGCATATTACTTTTGCATTATTGAAATTAAAAAGTCTTAAATTGAACCATCATAAGTTGAGGGCTGTATGATGTTATCTTCAGGAAATATATGCAGAATTCATTACCATGCAAAGCTATTCTTAAATTTGGATGAAAAGAGAGAAAAGCACGCATCAATCTGTTTTGCAGTCCTATTACTTGTTAATTTCACTTTTGGTAGTTGTTTGACGCTAAGTTCAACTGTATATGCTAATTTGCATTGCAGTTATGAGGCCTAATAAAGCAGTCGTCTTTCACATAATAGTAATTGAAAGTATTCCATAAAGTATTTCCATAGAGAAAACAATGAAAACTGCATTTCCAGAAAAGCCAATAATCATACACATATATAAACACAGAATCAACAACATATTTTCTTACTTAGGAAAACTTAAACCATAACACAAGGTGTTTTTTTGTTTTTTTGTTTTTCTTTTTTCTTTTCTCCGGTACCGGGAACCGAACTCACGACCTTGCGCTTGCCAGGCAGGCGCTTTGCTGCTGAGCTAAATCCCCAGGCCCCACAAGGTGGTTATTTAGATATTATTATTATTACAAAGAATTTAAGTATACACACTTGGCTAAAAGCAGGCTGAGCCACGTAGGCAAGGTTTATCTTTAAGTGATAGTTTCCAAGAAGAACCATAAAAGTCAAACAGTCAAACATTTCTCTGTGAATTTTATTGTTATTCAAGAAATTTTGCATGGAGACGTTCAACAACTTTTGTAGAAAAGTCAGATATACTGGGCAGAGGGGAAGAGATGGATTATCATGATCAATTTTATAACATATTGGGGAAAAGTTCAGAAATGATAGAGAAGACACAGTGGCACTTTATTTAAAGCAAATATTGGCACATCTGGTACAAGAGAGGCATTTTACAATGCTCCTATTGGTATATTACAATGTTCAAGTTGTATTTCTAAAATGGGGACTCTTATGACATAACATCAAAAAATAGAGAACTGAGAAAAAAAAAGTCAAATGTTGTGATACAAAAGACAACAGTAACGTTCAACCTGCCACAGTTAAAAGGCCACTGGGACAGGAGTCTGAAAGGAGCAAGACGCTGTCCACTGCAATTTCTCCAGTTTTGCCTTTGCCACGTTCTGCTTCAAAAATGATCTAACAATGGAGAAGGAGTAAAACATTACTTCAAAATACACAAAACAATGATCTAGCCAAACTATTTAACAGCTATTAATAAGAACTGCACTCAGGCATTATTATGGTTTAATCTACATGCCCCCCCACCTCGTGTGCTCATAGGCGGGGCTTTGGGGAAGTGACTGAATCATGGGATGTGATACTCATCACTGGATTAGTCCACTGATGAGTTTATAGCTAAATGAGATGTTAGGAGGTGAAGCCTTGTTGGAGGAAGTGAGTCACTGAGGGCGTGGCCTGGAAAGATCTATCTCCCTCCCTCCTTTCTTGATCTCTCCCTGCTTCCAGCCACCATGCCATGAGCAGTTTTTCCTCTATGATGCCCCTCTGCCATGTTGCCCTGCCTTAGAGTCAGCCGACTATGGACTGAACCCTCTACAAACTGTAGGTCAAATAAAATTCCACTCCTTACAGTTGTGAATGTTGGGTATTGTGTCTTACTGATGAGAGTGTAACTGAGACATGCATCGTTATTACATAGAAATTGTCTTTCATATTGACTACATAGTAATATTTTAACTACATAGGAATAGGATTTTCAGACACTGGGCATCCACACTGAGAGTTGTGTACAGAGAAATCACAGTTACAGCAAACTCTAAAGATTCTGAAAAGCCCTATAAAGCTAAGAAGGGTAAGACTTAAAAGGAACCTTTGGAACAAGAAAGCTTTAAAGAAAATAAATAAAAACAACAAAAAGTAGTTTTCTTTATAAAAACCAGGTTAAAAGAAATTGAATATTTCCATGAGCATCTAATGCAAAACCATATAGTCAAAGGGAATTATTTTGATACATTCAGATTTTGTAGTTTATAGTAGTCGAACTATTTTTCTTAAATATTTTGCTTATGTATTTGGAAATTGTCTAGAATGTCATTGTTCATGTGCTAAAAATGTTTTACTATATGATGCTATAACCATTTTATTTTAAGAAATCTATTAATAATCAAAAAAGAAAGCAACTTTTTGTATTTTAGAAATTCCCACTATCTATAGAACAGGGGAAAAATGCCAAAGAGAATTATCTTTGGATGCAAAATAACAGAAAACTTATTTAACACAATTAAAGGTGTATAACAACTATTTTATATTTACCTACTGATCTGAAAATATTTTCAAGTAGCTATGACAAAATAAACATTTACTGAATGAATATTTATATGTTTCTTCAATATTGTAATGCTTTTAAAATAGTTTGTGTTAGCTGGGCATGATGGTGCACTCCTGTAATCCCAGGACTTGAGAGGCTGAGGCAGGAGGATCGCCATGAGTTCAAGGCCAGCCTGAACTGCACAACAAGACCCTGTCTCAAAAAAAGTTTATGTTAATTTTATAATGAGAAAAAACACCAAAAATACTTTTAAAATTCAGTAATGATGAAAACAATAGCTATAATTTATGGGGTACCAATTCAATATGATGTGGTATGAGAAGTTTGTCTCTCATAGTTCCTGTATATCTCCTGGAAAGACGGGTACACTGGACCTAGTGTGTTCTATAATTTTAGGATCAGAAATAAGCAGGCTTAGAAGACAGAAAGATGATTCTGATTCAAAGATGACTAAGGTTATCTTGAACCAAAAACATTAGAGAGAAAGTAATATTTAATTTGGAATGTGTTCTTCTTTAAAATTACAAACATATATGGCTTATCAAAATGGAATTTGCCAATAGCCCATGCCAACTATGGCTATAAACAGATTAAATATGTATACACATAAAGCATAAAATACAAAATATGAAAGCGCTCATTACTGTGGTGTGATTATGAATCTACTTTACTCAAGAAAGAAATTGACTTTGTCTTTTCAAAATTTTTTATAAATTTAAACTTACAAAAAATTGGCATTTTAAGCTGGGCATGATGGCATGTACCTATAATCCTAGCATTTTGGGAAGCTGAGGCAGAAGGACTGCAAATTTGAACCCAGCCTGGGCAATCTAGCAACGTAGTGAGATCCTGTCTCAAAAAATGGGGATGGGGGATACCAGGGATGTAGCTCAGAGCAAAGCTCCAAGGTTCAATCCCCAGTACCACCAAAACAAACAAAGAGAAAAACTAACAAAGAAGGAAACAAAAGTTGCATTTTATTTTTAATTTTTAAATTTTTTTTTTTTTTATATTTTTGAGACAGGATCTCGCTATGCAGTTCAGGCTGGCCTTGAACTCATTTTGTAGCCCAGGCTGGCCTTGAACTCGCAACGATTCTCCTGCCTTGGCCTCCTGAATGCTGGGATTATAGGTATATGCCACCATGCCTGGCCAAAAAAAAAATATTGCATTTTAAAGAAAGAGCCTTTAAGGATCATGCTTGTAGTAGCACATGCCTGTAATCCTAGCACTCTAGGAGGCTGAGGCAGGAGGATCACATGTTTCAGCCCAGCCTGGGCAAGTTAGTGACTTAGCAAGACTTTGTCTCAAAATAAAATATAAAAAGGGCTGAGTATTTAGTTCATTGTGAAGGCCTTTGGTTTAATCTCCAGTAGGAGAGAAGAGGAGGGGAGAGATAGAGAGATAGAGAGACAGAGAGACAGAGAGACAGAGACAGAGACAGAGAGAGAAAGAATATGAATCATCCTCAGTCACCACCATAGACTCCCTTTTTACTTGCTTTGTGAAGAATTACAGAATAGTTTTCAGTGTGGTAGAGGTAAAGCGATTTTAGGCTTGCTATCATCACTGTATCCAACTTTCTCAGGCTTTCTGAAGTGAAGATAGGAAATCTTGGGGCGATGAGAGTGACAAGAGCCTGTGACTATTGTTGCTCAGGCCTCTCTTTTGCTTTCCAGATGGATACATTTTCTTGATAACTATTGGAAACAAGCTAATGCTAAGAAAAGCTAGCATGACTGGGTATAGAAGTCTTTTCTTTCTCTATTCTCTTCTCAGGAGGGAGCACCTTTCAGGAAGACATTCCCTTTGGATAACTTTAATGAAGTAGAAGTGAGCCAAAGAGCAGATTCCTCAGAACAGCTGCAGTGAACAGGATAATGAGGATGAGTATGTCTACATCTTGGGGTATTGGGTTTTTCCTACCACTGACATCCCCTGGAAAATTAAAAATAAACATCAGGATAATTATTTGGCGTACTAATTTGTGTGCATTTTCACTACATTTTTCTTACCCTATCTCCCCCAAAATATAGGCAGGTTTTTAATGTTCTCTTTTATCAAGGAGATTTGGGATGTAACAATCAAAAGCAGACTTTTCTGGAAGATAGTGACTTTCTTGATGTTTGCTCCCAGTAAGTTTAAATCCCTTGAGGAGACTGTACTAGTAGAAGGTGGAGAGCTAACAGGAGAAGCAGTGATTGGGAGAAGCTCACTTCTCCAACACTGGAAAGAACCACCACTGCCTTGCCGTGGCAGAGCCCTGACTGGGGGGTGGTTGCCTGATTTTCCTACTGATGCTGAATTCTCAGGAACAAGATTATATCCCAATGGACATGGAAGCTGAAGAGATGAATGGCTTCAAGGGCCACATGGGGGCAAAAAAATGTGGGTATTCATATCCCCATGATGAAATGAAGATGTACTGCCTCCTTCTGAATGTCTGTGCCACCCCAGCCTTTCAGAAGCTGGGGACACCTTAGAGAGGGGCCCCTCCACCAACCCTGAGTGAGCAAATAGCTGAGATTGAATCCCCTCAGTCTAACAGGATAGGGCTTTGGCTTCAGGTATAGTTTCATTTAGAGGAAGGATGCAACTTATCTATTACACTCAAGTTCATGCAGTAAAGGTCACCGACCACGTGCCACAAATATCTATGGCCAAAACCACAGCGGTAAACTGGAATAATATCCCCCAGCAAGGTTTCTCACAGAGTTAGAATATTCAGGACCTAGGTGCCAGCACTGGTGTGTTACAATGTGACGGCTGGCCAGGCTCCTTGGGGGCATGGTTTCAAAATGTGAACAGTGCTGTTTTACACTGTTCTGATTAAATACTTTCCCCAAGCTATGAGCACATTAATTTGATCAACATGGAAGGAATCATGAATGTCACACAGAGGCATATTTCAACTCTCCAGTGAGAGATGGCATCCATATATAGCCTGGCTCAGTGCTACAGTCCTCAAGGCATGCAGCAAACACAGCAATGTAAACATGTGGATTGGATTTACACTGATTCACATGTACCGCAATGAGAATATATTTGAATGACTGTGTGTGTCAGTCCTGAAAAAGCACTGACTGCTTTTACTGCAAAGGGAAAGAGTGGTTAGGAAATTCATTAACTAGGACCTAACATACACTTTTATTTATAGTCATGTCTTATGAGGCATTTAAAATAAGATGTTCTGCTTTAATTAAAGTGTGACGAGTAAATGAAAAGATGTTAAATTTAATGTCTGACACTAGGGACTAACTAGGCTTCCTGGTCTGATGCCTATTGCCAAGAAATGAGACTGTACTTACGTTAATCATCGTCTTTCACAAGCAAAGTATAAATGGATTCTGATTCACGGATCTCCCAGTTGTTCTCCCTCTGATCGCCTCTTCACGTATTTCCTTCTAACTTTTGCTCATTTTCTTTCACACCTTGACCCAACTTTCCACCAGAACCCACTCTGGCTATATCCAGCCTCTGGTCCCTGTCGCTTTGACCCTTCCTTCTAAAGAAACAACTCCTGCAAAGGTCACCAACCACCTCTTGATAGTCAAACTCAATAAACAATTTCTTTTTATTTAATTTGTTCTTTCTCAGTGTTTCATACCACTGATTGACCAGCTTCTTCTTAAGACTGTGTTTCCTTTTCCTTTATTGGGCCCACTTCTGTAGTGAGGGATTAATTCAGCAGATCTGAGTTGTTTGAACCCTGTACATTCTAAACAAAGTTGGGCCCATGATTGGCTCCTGGGAGATGGCCTCTAAACCTTGGAATATCATACCTGACAGAGTATGATAATGTTTACCTGAGGCTTTGGGCCAAGCCAGATGGTTCACGCTAACAGTGTGATTTATGGTGGGAGACTTGGATTACATGGTATCAGGCTGACCTCTGGAGAGGCTGGAGACTGACTAACTAGTCATCCACATCAGCAGACACATGGCCAGACTGACTCATTAACAAAAACCTTGAACACCAAGGCTTGGGTGAGCTTCCCTGGTGGGAAAACTTGCTGAGTGTTGTCACACATGGCTTCTGGGAGAATTAAGAGTGCCCATATGACTCCACTGGGAGAGGAAAATTATACCCTTGTGCCTGGTCCCCCTTGGACTCTGCACTATGTATTTCGGTCCTACGCTTATTTTCACCTGTATAAACTGGTGTCATGAACAACAGCTTTTAGAGTTCTATGCAAACTTCTAGGGAATCATTGAATGTGAGCATGGTCTCAGAGACCCCCGGCAACAGTTACTTTCCCGGTTCGGTTAAAAATAACATTTAGAAAATCATCCTCTGGCTACCATTTTTTAGGCCACACTCTGTGCACAGAACAAATGAACAAGACTTTTTTTTTTTACATCTTAATGAATTTTCTGACTGCTTTGGAAGGAAGCTGGAAAGAGGGTCATGCATAAAAAACAGGTCTTTTCCATGGAATGTGATATACGTGCATCTGACAAGTATTGGTATTAGCTGCATTGATTAATCTCTTTGCCTATTTTACTCCAGAATGGAAGATCTTTAAGTATAGCGAAAAACTTTACATCCCCAGGGCCTACGTACTCCAGTGTTTTGTTGTTTGTTAAGTCATAGAAAAAAGGTAAATATCTAGTTTAACCATTTTTTTTCAACTTACACTTTTGGTTGCATCAATCCCTTGATACAACTGAATTTTTCCCGTCTTCCACCTTTCATCCTCACTCTTGGTCTCTTCCCATGCCAGCACGTTGTTACTGTTTTTCACAAACACACGAAGTTTCCCTACTTTCTCTCCCGCCAGCCGGTAATCAAAGAGCAAGCAGAAGTTGCTTTGGGGCTGCAGGTTTGGGAGGAGAAGTTTCAATCGACCAATATCCTTCCTGTGCCCTGCCAAGGCCGGAACTGCCATATAATAGCCAACAGCTTTAAGAGAAGAAAAAATGCAGTTAATAAGCCCACTCTAAAGGGTTTGGCTTTTATATATGAAATAGCTATAAAATAAACAAAAGTGTCCCATAGGGAAAGCTGAAGTCCTTTACATTTTGAACATAGGAAAAAAAAGTCTTCATGCTAAAATGGATTTTAGGATTACACAGTTGAAATCTTTTGCCACACAGAAAAGGAAATTGAAGGTCAGAGAAATAGGGGGATTTGTCCACATTCACAAAGCTTGGTAGTAGCAGATATGGGGTAAGAATCTAATTAAATGGGCCTTTAGCACTGCAGGTAATTTGCAGCTAATAAGGAACTTGTGTTCCAGAACTTTATTTCTGCCTTGATTGTTGGAACCTTGGAGTGCAGTTCCCCACTGAGCCAATCATATGTCCAATGGTCAGCTTGTTAGGTGGGCTCATAAAGTGGCGTTTAATCTACAATACACATGGATTTGTCCTAATGGTTTAATGAAGCTCAACCACCTTGCTCAACATATCACTCTGAGTTCTGTTTTAGGATGTCAGGAATGTATTTCCTGCTATGCCTGCAAATCTCCTAAGAATCTTTTAACCTATGGCAGTAGACTTTTGTTCACCTCCAATCTTCTGATTGTGGTTTTGATGAACTGGAGCAAAAACTTCAGAGTAGTGTCTGAGGAAGGTGAGAAGAAGATGGAATTCCTATAAAAGCTAGGAGGATGACGCTGGGGGTGGGATGGAATCTTTTAGTGCAATTCCTGGAGACACTTGCAGAACCCAGGCTGACACTGCCTTAGTTTCCACTGGACTCAAACACTGTCAGATCTTCTTTTCCAGCTAGTAATGTTATTAGATTCAGCAAATTAAAATGCAAGATACCTAGTGGGGTTTAAACTTCAGATAAACAATATGTTCAAGAGAAAATAAAAAGGAGTCAATGCTTCTCTGAAACTTAGACTTCCTATACAGTGACTGTATCAGCTATACTCTTTTGTGACCCACTTTTCTCATCTAGCCAAATCCCACTTTGAGCTGTCTTTGAGAGTTTATCTCTTTAATAATACTGCTGGATCTCATGGTTCTTTTCTATATTTAACTCTGGTGGGAAAGAAAGACCTACCTAGAGATGATGGAGGTGCATGCAAGGAAGGGAGGATGTATGATTTGAGTGATGGAGAAGCTGAGAACCCAGGGATTATTTGTGAATTGGGTGTTTGTAAATAGGAGGCTTCCCACTGATGGGACATTCAGTGTAACACATTGCTGACCATGTGAGCTGGCGAGATCCTGAGATAACATGTGGGCTATCCTTGTGATACAGCTCTTTCAGGCATAAATTTAGAGAAGCTTTAGGAGGAAAGAAGGAGCTCAGCTTAGTTATCAACAAGATAGTTTCTGTAAAGATGTATTGTCTCTGATCTGGTTACATGTGCCCTGTGTTCATCTTGAATCTTTAGTTACAGTTCCATTTACACAACTGCTGGTGGGATGATGCATCCCCTGTACCACAGTCCCACACTTTAAAAGGGTTTCTTTTTAGAGACATCCAAGTTTTCTGATTGTATGCGAAAGTTGGAAAGGAAAGATCTCAGAGAAAAATTACCCCAAAGAAGGATCTAGAAGAATCTTTTAACTGAAGGCTGAGCCCTATATATCCCCAAAGAGATAAGTTGATTGGTAAGAAACTGAAATCCCTGAGATGTAATAGTCGACCTTAGTTGTCTAGTCAGCCTTTAGGAGAAAGGAATTCAATAAGTGCTCCAAATGGATCTGCAAGCAGGACTCTCTATCCCAGAGGAAATCTTGAGCTCATCAAAGGTAGTGAAGTATGTAGCAGAACGGCAGTAAGTACAAAACTCAGAGCTCTGTTTGAGAAAAATCTAAGATCAAGGGGCCAGAAAGAGGTCCTCCAGCAACTAAAGAGAAACTTCAGTTCAGTCCAGGAGTTCAGGTTGCTGACCTGACACTCAGTATGGTGACACTCAAGTCAATTTGATGCCTAAGGAAGGGGGTGACTCTACTAAAACTCTCAGTTTAGAAAGAGGTCGTGTTTCAAGAGTTACTTCCCCTGAAAGAACAAAATAAAAACTAGAGTGCACCACTGCTTCATAAACTGGGCAAAAGGAACAGCTTCATTCTGTCAGTGCTCCTAAAGTTTATATGACTCCATATAGCTTTCTCTCTTAGATGCAGGAGGGTAAATATAGAAGTTTCCTGCCATATTCTTTGTGAGGACAGCTAGGTGAGAGAGGAATTAAAGAGGGAATACATGCTGGGAAAAGTGTGTTATCCATCGGGGAGACCTTGGAAAGTCGAAAGGTTTCCAAAAATGATAAACAACCCTGACCTGAGACGTGACAGGTAGAATAACCCTCTGCCACTGAAAAGCCTTCTTTCCCTTGGCCACATTACAGAATATGAAATAATCAAACCTAAATACCATTATCTCGATCAGCAGGATTCCAGTCAAAATCATCTTCTCTGTCTTGTTTCCAGTCACAGACCCCATGATCAAAGCTGCAGTCAGCTGAGATATTTAAACCTGCTTTAAAAAGAGCATATTTCATAACCATTAAAAGCATTAGAAATATAGCTAAAATTTCGGGCTTTGGAAGGAAATGTCCTATTTTTAGTTATGTAGAGTATAGATCAGTGGTGGTGAACCTATGGCACATGTGCCACAGCGGGCTGTTCGTGTCACTGAAAGGGCTAAGAGTTCTCCATCAGTGGTAGAGGCCAAGGAAACTGAAATGCTCTTAGGGATAATGTTAAACCAGATACCGTTTTTGAGTTAAATCTTTGAGGTCATTCTCAACAAATTCTGTTTTAATCCTATAAAACAAACACAAAAAAAAGTCTATGATTTTTAAAAAACTCAGTAATGAGCAAGACCTCCCTGGGCAAAACAAAACAAGGAATGTAACCAACTGGTATAAAATTTAGCCCAGAAAATAAACTCTGCTTTGCATAAATAAACAAGTGAAGACCTTGCCAGAACTTTCTAGATGATTTGCGGAATACAACGTTTCATGTAGTACACAACACATGACTTATCAACATTCTTGTAGTACAACATATTTTTTGTTTGCTGGATCATATGATATCTTGATGCTTGGGGGGCTTTACAGACCTGGAGACAGACTTTCCCATCCATGGCCACCTAAGTTGAGGACATGTGTTCTTGTAAGGCAACCATGGTCTTTATCTAACTCACACGCACTGTTATGGTTTGTATCCGAAATGACCCCCAAAGGCCACATGCTACAGGATTGTTCACCACCCTGGTGCACTATTGAGAGGTGTGGCCTAGTGGGAAGAAGTGAGTCTCTGGGTGTGGGCTGGGGCATGACTTTGAAGGGAATATTGGGACCCCGGCTCCTGTCCTCTCTTTCTGCTTCCTGCTCACCATAAGGTGAACAGCTTTGCTCTACCATCCGCTCTCCACCATGATGTTCTGCCTTACCACAGGCCCAAAGTGATGGGGCCCAAGTAACCATGGACTGACACTTCTGAGATTGTGAACGAAATAAACCTTTCCTCCATACAAGTTGATTACCTCAGGTATTTTGTCAGTGACAGAAAACTGTCTAACACAACACAGTCAACATTTCCCCTGCACTAAATCATCCCAATGCTAGGTATTGGGCAGTTAGGAGCAGTTCCTGGTCCCCAAGGCCTTCTGCAGTTATTCAGCCCAGCCAGTGCTAAGCCATTTCCCCTTCTCTATATTGCCTTTCTTCCCAGACAATTCCCAAGAAAGGCTGTGGCCTAGGCTATCCCCTCACTCCTGTTTCTACCTCTGACTATAACCTGATGCTTCTTCCTCTGGGGCCCCACGTGGCATGCTGTGCACCCTTTTCTTGGGAAATATACTTAACAAATCCATTTTTCAGGGCCATTGGCCTCTCCATGTCACTTAGTCACTTCCATCAATTAAAACCCCATGGATATGAATGCCACACTAGGTGACAAAATCTTTTCCTTTCTTTGCTTCAGAATTCCAACATTCCAGTTAGAAATTTGCCACCAGCATGTTGGATCAAATAAGCAGACATGTTCACAGTCTCTAAATTGCTTTTGGGTTCTTTTTGGTAGAATGATTGCGTTGTTTAGATGTAGTGGAGAAATGTCATTGCAGAGTCAGCTACTGTAGGTTTGAGGCCAGTGCTTCTGATTACTTTTATGTAGATCAGAGCCCAACAAGTGGACAGCCTGGCCTACTGCCCATTTTTCCAAAGTTCTATTGAAGCACACCTGCCCTTGGCTCCACATTGGCCATGGCTGCCTTTGTGCTAGAAGGACAGAGCTGAGTAGGTGTTACTAACACTATGGGGCTCGCAGGGCCTAAAACATTTACTACGTGGCTTTCTCCACAGAAAGGTTTGCTAACTCCTGATGCAGATGTCAAAAAAATAGCACCATGAGAAAGGGAAGATTGAAGTACTTATTAAAAATGAATTTTGTGTCTTTTACCTATTTACACTGAGGAATAAAGGAAGGGAAAAAATCAAAAACAGTTGATTCTTGACACATGGCAATTCACCCAATATTCTCAGATACATTATGTTATTTGATTTGAGTTTTCCAAAAAAGTTTATCATCAGTTGGGCATGACGGTGCATGCCTGTAATCCCAGCACTTGAGTCGCTAAGGCAGGAGTTCAAGGCCAGTCTGGGATACATAGTTCAAAGCCACACTGAACTGCGTATTGAGACCCTGTCTCAAAAAAACAAACCAAAGGTTTATCATCAAATCCAATTTCAGGAAAGTAAAAGTGAGGTTCAGAAGTGATTTGTCCAAGATCTGCAGACACTCAGTGCTGGGAATGGACCTGAGTCTCAAGTTAGACTGGAATCTAGGGCTGTCTGTTCTGCATGCACCTTAACTCTGCACCAACTGCCCCTTTTCTCACTTTTCTTTCTCTTTCACTCCCCATTTCCTCCTATGTTATCAAAGATAATTTTGGTTCCAATTTTCAGATGAAAAATGACAAGTAAGTCTTCAACATTTTTTTAGCTCTTTCATAGTTTGAGAAATTGATGTTGCCATTCCACAGACAATGGAACATCAGTTTTTCAGTTGGTTTATGTGGTGGCAACATTTATTCCGAACTCCCTCCTCCCCTTCAACACACAATTAATGGGGCTTGTAAAGTGAGATAAAGGGATAGTATACAGCCAACCTCTCCATAAAGAGGTAAAAGTCAAGACTTTGATCTCATCAGCACACTAGTTCATTAGCATAGCACTTGGTGGTCTACAAAGTGCTTTCAAATCCATTCTCTGGTTCAACCTATGCCACCCTCAAAGTAGATGCTGTTGGTGTCAGTACTTATGTTCCCTCGCAGGCACGTCCCTCTCTAGTGCAATTATAGCTCTGGGTGTGAAGGTATTCTCTGGATGGAGCATTCTTAGTCCAAGCCAGTTGTGTTAGAATGCTGTTAGTTTCTTTCCCTGGGAACAGCCCTCAAGCAGGGATGGATAGAAAATGATAGACAGATACTTCTGTTTCCTTGCCTTTGGATAGGACCAGTAAGTGCTGGGATTGGATGTGAACTGGAGTCAGACTGGAATCTAGGAACACTCCTGCCTTGCAGAAGTGGAATGCAGGTCCACTTACCACAGTAGTGTATTTCCCTGCTTTCACAGGAGGCCATGTGTGCCAGGGAATTAGCAGCACTCTCTCAGAGCAGCCTACATTCAAGCTCAGAAGGGACTTGGTGCGTGTACTCTAGGTCCCTTAAGCCTCCTGTAGGATCACTCTAAGCCTTGTGGTCTGCACTGCCTCGTGACTTCCCCAACGGGACTGAGCTCCAGTTCTCTGTAGTAGAAATGTGCCTAATAACATACCCCTTTGTTGCCTCTTTCTCTCCCCACCCCACTTCCCTGTGCCCTTCCACTGTTTCCCGAGTCACTGCCTCCATAAGCCACTCACACTCAAATTCTTGTCTTGGGGTCTGTTTCCAAGAAAACCAGCCTAATATAACACCTAAGAGAGGCGTGTTGCTCTCAGGTGTGGAAGCAGTAGAGTAAGCAGGTCTAACTGACTTGCTCAAGGCAAAGAGCAACCAGAGTGTGAAAGTGCACACTCGAGCCTTCTGGTTGGCACTAAACCCTCCAGAACACCTTAATCAAGGACTGTTGTGATCACAGGACTGTGGTCATGAGCAACATTTTCAACTTTCTGTGTTTCATTAAGAATCATGAAGGAAATGTAAAATAAAAAACACAGTCAATTTGGGGCTTCAAAGAGGGCCGAAATAGTTCCTTATGGACACTTCGTGAGTGGGAAGCACTATCCACACAGAGTCTGCCTCCACTCTTTATTCTTGGGGTCAGGTAGGAGCAGCAGAGAGAAGAAAACAGCCGTACAGCATTGTAATTATTGGTACAAATCAGGCAGAGGCCTATTATTTTATACCTGGTACTGTGCATCACGATGTAATGACTTCCCTTGGGCTTTTATGAATGAAGAAGTGATTCAAAAACAATCACCTCATCTTATGAAGAAATGAAAATGATATGGGACAGTGTGAGAAAACTTTATTTACCTTTGTATTCCAGCTTGGAATTCAGCACTTTTCTTTGGGCCAGATCCAAACTCAAATTACCTGCTTCATTCACCTTGGGGGCTGATAAAGGACACTTGGTCAGTTAAGAAAAACATATGACCCCACATGCTCAGAAGGTGTGAATCCAATGACTGAACAAAGAAGGCTTTGTCATGGCTTGTAATTACAGCAAGTATTCTAGCAGTGTCTCCCTGGCATTTCCAAATCATTCACATTGGTTCCAGCATTCCAATTTAGAACATCTTTTTTCCAGAGTTTCTCTTAGTGAGCTAAGAATCTACTCTTGGGGCACATCCCTTCGCACCAGTTTTCAGAGCTATACTTCCTTCAGACTTTCACTATGAAGGGAGCTGAGGTCACTGGTATGCTATTTCTTGGACAGGTGGGCCTGTATTTACTTCTCCAACTGGCATTTGTACATATGAACAGATCCGTACATATGTACATAGAACAGATCTGACAAAATATTAGAGGAGGAATAAATGCACAGTAAGAAGGAAATGGAGTCTCCGTGTTGGGATCCAGGCTGAGTCAACACGGAAACCGTCCTGAAGGGGCTGAGACTTCTGGTGGGTTCTGAGCAGCAACCAGTGAAAAGAGATTTGGTGCTTATTTAGTTCATGCAGAAAATTTAAGGTCTGTGGTAGCACTTTTTCTCTTTTGGTTTTCTTTTTTTTGGCTTTTAAAGGCATAACAACACTACTGCAACACTGCGTTTTCATAGTTAGCCTGTCACAAGCGACTTCAAGAAGGGAGAAGGGGGGGCTGGGGATTTAGCTCAGCGGCAAAGCGCCTGCCTGGCAAGCGCAAGGTCGTGAGTTCGGTTCCCAGTACCGGAGAAAAACCAAAAAAAAAAAAAAAAAGAAGGGAGAAGGTGGAGCCTGGCAGATCCACACAGTGAGAATCTCTCTGACCTGGGGGCATGCCAGACAACTGTGCCTGCAGGACTAGCAAGCTCCCCATGATGCCAGTGGAGAGGAGGAGCCTGTACCAAACACAAAACCCTCAGGTAAGGGAACAGGACTTACCCTGCTTGTTTCTCAGAGCAGCAGATTAGCTCTGGTACCTGCAGAAGGTTCTCATCTCTAGAACTCACACAGACAGATGCCTGCTGCTTAGGATATAAGGCCCAACCCATTCTACTTAAAGCATGAAACTCTCTAGTCTCCTTCCACTTGTCAGGAGGAATCCCAATTTATTCTTCATGAAAAGTATAAAATAACAAACGTGATACTCACAAAACACATCTCCTCGGAGGCTTCGCTCCTGTTCCACGTCATTCTTCAGGGCTTTCTCTTCTCTTTTCTCTTCCTCAAGCCCTTTGATTTTTTCTTTATTCCAATTTTTGTCTCTAGGAGAGTTCCCATCCCTGTGAAGATTCTCTTTAGAGCTGAAGGGCTTTGAGGTAGCCTTAGGGGCACGTGTCCCAGTGGGTCCTGGGGTGACATTTTTCACTTTTATCTTCTTTTTCATGCTGTTTTTGTGAGCAAGCAACTTCTTGATCTTGTCTTTGATGATCCCAGGTGCTCTGAGGACTTCTCTCACAGAATTTTCAGGGATAACTAAAACAAAAAATAAATAATTGAGAAGTAGCAGTAATTAGTAGCTGATAATAAGGTCACTGGTAAACAATGGAATGTATTGGAAGAGCTGTAAGTTCACGCTTCTAGAATCAACTCATATGGGGTTCCACCATGTGAGATTTTAGGAAGAACTATATTTGCATGTTTTGAGCAGTTCCGATGCTATGGTGGTTACCTTCACTACTTTTTGTTAAAGGACACACTTCATTTTGCTTCCAAAACTAGTGAAATACCTGCTACTACTCAAATAGGCTAAAGGTCTCAAAGGAATGGATTTCTCCAGGATCCTCTAATATTTCTGCTTTCACATTGGGACCATACCTGGTATTGTCCAAGGACCACCAGGGATTTGTTGAAATTTGATATTCAAAGAATACAGCCAGACAGCATTAAGTTGAGCCAGATAAATGCCAGTAATGTGCCATTTGTGACCTTAAAACAGGGTGACTTCTGGATCACTGTACACAAACCTAATTTCCTTTCCTCCCTCTCTCACCCCTTTAAATACTTAAAACTCAATCAACAACTATCTAAACCTAAATGATTTTATTTAATGAATTTTTTATAGAGCCTTCTATATTTACTGTTTTATGTCCACTTCCTATTTGTAGCCATGAAATTAAATTGCTTTTATTTTTTATTTTTTCTTATTTTAAAAATAAAAGGAGGAAAACATTAACAAACAGACAACCGTTCACAAAATAGCAAAAGAACAATACAAACAATACATAGTTACAAACAAAGTGGTAGGAAATTAACAATGCTTCTTGTATTACATATTGATATCTTCAAAGTGGTTTCTCAGGAAAACAGAGACATGCAATATTGGTCAGTCATGGACTCATTAACTTTTTCTTTCAGCAAAGAAATAGAAGACAGTAGCTCAACTATGTTATATACACATACAAAATTTCTCCTTCTTTCCCTTCTCTTTTCCCACATCCCACTTGACCTTTGCCCTTTAACCTTGAGCATTTTTTTTTCGTTTCACAATGTCTATCATACCTCTTAGCTTTTATTCAATCTTTCAGGTTTTACACTAGTGAGTTAATGCGGTGCTTGCACATGCAGCTCTGATTTATTTCGCTTATGAGTATGGTCTCTAGTTGTGACCATTTACCTATAAAAGCCTCGACTTTATCTTTCTTTATAGCTGAGTAATATTCCATTATATAAATGTACTACAATTTTTTTTATCCAATCCTCAGTGGATGGACGTTTGGGTTGCTTCCACAATTTAGCAATTACAAATTGTGCTGCTATGAACATAGGTACACATATATCGCTGTGATATGATGTTTTCAGATCTTCTGGGAAAATACCCAGAAGGAGAATAGCTGGGTTGAATGGGACCTCTAGACCTAGTTTGCTGAGGAATCTTCAAACAGATTTCCACAGTGGTTTCACCAGTCTGCATTCCAACCAGCAGTGGAGAAGAATTCCTATTTCTCCACAGTCTCACCAGCATTTGTTATTGGTTGATTTCTAAATGCTAGCCAATCTTACTGGGGTGAGATGGGATCTCAACGCTGTTTTAATTTGCATTTCTCTAGTGACTAATGATGTTGAACATTTTCTCATGTATTTATTTGCCATTTGTATTTCTTTATCTGAGAAGTATGTATTCATCTGAGATGACCATGTTTGGATTGAGTCTTTGAATTTGGGGGGGGCTGATATTTTTTAATTCTTTATGTGTTCTAGGTAGAAGTCCTTTGTCCGAGGGAAAGGCAGCTAAAATTTTTTCCAAGTTTGTTTGTTTTCTTTTTACTCTGCTGGTGATTTCTTTAGATGTGCAGAAACTTTTCAGTAGGATGAGACCCCAGTTGTTGATTCTTTGAAGTATTTCGTGTGCAGTTTGGTTTTTGTTCATGAACTCTCTGCCTACCCCTATGTCTTCAAGGTTTTTACCTACTTTCTCTTCCAATAGATTTAGTGTTTCTGTTTTAATATTGAGATCTGTGATCCATTTTGACTTGAGTTTGGTGCATGGTGATAGACTTGGATCTATTTTCAGTCTTTGGCAGGTGGCAAGCCAATTTTTCCAGGAGCATTTATTAAAGAGGCTATCGTTCTTCCAGTGAGTTTGTTTGGCCCCTTTATCAAAGATTAGGTGGCTGAGTGTGTTTTTGGTTGTGGCTGTTTCTTCCAGTCTGTTCCATTGATCGTCAGGTCTGTTTTTTAGCCAGTACCAGGTTGATTTTATGACAGTAGCTTTGTAGTATAATTTCAGGTCACGGATTGTGATTCCATCTGACTTGTCCTTGTTGCCCAGGATTGCTTTTGCTATTCTGGGTCTCTTATGGTTCCAGGTGAATTGAAGGCATGTTTTCTCGAGATCTGTGAGGTATGCTAATGGTCGTTTAATGGGAATTACATTGAATCTGTACAACAATTTTGGGAGTATGGCCATTTTCACAATGTTGGTTCTACCTATCCATCAGCAAGGAATATTTTTCCATTTACTGAAATCTTCTTCGATCTCTTTTTTCATTGTACTGTAGTTTTCATTGAAGAGATCTTTTACTTCTTCTGTTAGATGGGTTCCTAAATATTTCAATTTCTTGGATGTTATTGTGAAAGGTATGGTTTCCTTAATTTCTCTCTCAGTCTCTTTGTTGTTTGTGTATAGGAATGCTATCGATTTTTGGGTGTTGACTTTGTATCCAGCTACACTGCTGAATTTGTTGACTAATTCAAGGAGTCTTCTTGTGGAGTTTTTGGGGTCTTCCATGTAACGTATCATTAAGTTTCTTTTAAAAACACTCATCTAGGTTGACTCTTCCTATCCTTTATTGAGTCAGTGACTCTGGGGTGAGGGTAATGTTAGTGTAGAAGAACTCTAAGTAGAAAAAGGTCATTTATCTCAATGTTCTTTTTTTTGTAGATGGGGGCAACTAAGTATGGTAAGTGACTTGACCAAGGTCACTCAGATCATGGGGGTAGAGCTAGGGTTGAGAGTAAAGCATATGAATGGTTCTTTTCTTGATTCTCCTGTATCCTGCTTTAAGGATTACTTTTCTCTAGACTGGTTCAAATTCCTCAAGAGCCATGATCCGAAGATACACGTCTTTCTTCCAGGCATATACATGATAATTAAGACTATCTAATAGATGTGGTAAAGTAACTGACTTTAAAAAATTGAAAACACTGATCTTTAAAATCTAATTTAGGCATGAGTAGTCTAACACTAAGCAGAGGGTTTATAAACATCTGAGTCAATACACTCAATTCTCCTACTTGGGTATAGTTTAGACTTTAGAGCAAATTGAGAGAAGGAAGTAAACACCATTTTTGATGCATAAAGTAATACTATAAAAATTGGGTTGGGATTTTATTAAGATTTTTTTTCTTGGCAATGTTTTAATCTCTTTTCCTGCTTTGGTTCTTCTTTGTCTTTTGCTTAATTCAATCTGTACCAAAGTAGTAGAAAAATAAACAAGGAGACATTGACAATATTTTGGACAATCAAAAGAGGGAAAGAAAATGCTTTGAAAATATATATGCTCTTAATTAGTGCATTGCTTTGACACCCATCTGAGGGCTAAAGTGCAACTTTTCTATTTTCAGTGAAATGTCCCAGTTATTTATCATTGTGACAACCTGTACTCATAGGTACGAAATTAAGCAGTAGCAACAGAAGTAATTATCACCCCTCCTGTTCCTGACCTTCACGTGGTCTGCTTGAGCTCCTTTGCCACAGGTTGCATGTTCAGCTTCGATTATAATGTGCTGATCACACATCAGCTTTGCTCTGGAGACCCCACTGTGTAATTCTGCCCATGCTCCTCTGAATCTTTTCTCAGTGCCCAGCATGAAAAATTAAGAGGAAACACCTATTCCCTGAAAAGTTCCTTTGTGCAATCAGTAATATGAAACTAAGGACCTTTAATAAATAACGAGGAGAGAGTTTCAGCCCACACCAGCCAATCCTAAACATCTGCTTTTGGTTTTTCACTTTGAAGTTTCAAATTTTCCTATTGAGAAAAGAAAAAGAATCAAAACATCATAACCTTTGTATCAATAATTTCATTCCCTTTGTATGCAAAGAGAAAGCCAAAGCCAAACAAAGATAAAACTGTGCAGTCTAATGGTATGCACAACTTGATTCAGTTTTATCAGGGAACCACTGTTTCAAACTTGATATCACTGATGACTGTTTTCTCTTTGAAGTTCTTAATTACTGCATCATCTCTTTGGGAATATAAAAAAGTGGGAGGAAGTTGCAGTAGGAGGATCTTTGGAGTGTTGGAGAACTCAGACACACAAACAGGGCATGCCAAAGTCTTCAGGTCATGGGCCAGACTGTAACTGATGTTGACAATATCTTTTGGGAGGGAATATAGATTTTTATAAATGTCCACTCTGTCTACAGCATCTACCTTTCTAAAAATCTTGATTTTAATTTCTACGATAAGATTTTATTACTGGAGATCACTATTAGGTGAGACTATCTTACCCGGGAGGAATATGACTTTGACATTCATTCACCTGCGGTTAGCTCATTAGATGAGCCGCTGTCATCTGGCAGGGAAAACGTCCCCCTGGTCTGAGCTGTGGCCTCAGTCCTGGGAGAACAGGCTCAGTCCTGGTGGGAATCTACTGCACTGTGGAACCCAGCAAACAGGAAAGGCTCAGGATGGCATGAAAGCTGAGCTGGGAGAGTTCGCCGTGCAGGTGACCAGGAGCCTTCTCCGTCACAGGGGTGAACACACCTCCCGTGTGCTCGAGCACTCCATCCTGGACTTGACTCCTCACTGCCATCTTTTACTGTATGTCCTCAAAACTAGGCCCTCACTTCTCTTAGCCTCCATCCCCCCATTTACATCAGTGGGATAAGAATTGTGAAGTTTAATGACTGAATACACACGTTACTATGATCAGTGCCGCCAACGTACTCAGCATGGGCTTGCTATTATTTTTAGAAGTCATCACCAGAATATTTAGAATCTTTTACTAAATTAAAAATAAAATTCCCA